ATATTAGGTATAAATTTATTTAGATACAGGTAGGCATTTTTTCTTGCTCGTTTTTGGTAAAACTTTCTTGGCTGAATTATCGCAGCTGATTTTTGTATTCATCATTAGCAGAGGGTTCAAAAAACATTTTGATTACAGTCCATATGACCTTGGCGGACTTTGGCGCGAGATACTTTCTGATGGAAAAAGAAATTCCAGTATCCGTTGAGTAATAACTTATCCTATGAAAATACGTATTTTTAAATTTTATTAAGGAATAAATTATCTAAGAACTTATTTGAGTCATTTCCAAAAATTATAAAAAAAAAAAAAAAAAAATTCAGAATTCACCAAAAACGCCTAAAATATATTTAATGATTTATAACAAGTTGCGTTAATGTGGCATAAACAGGCCACATATATGAAATTTTATTTTCATGTCAATTTCTGCTTTTATATTTTTTGTTACAGTTAATCAAGTAACACAATGCAATTAATTTTATGATATGCTGGCAGTTATCTCGAAATGTGGATACAATTGACTTCTAATTATTTTGTTAACAATCATCAGCTTTATGTTAACTTTGAACCCATTCTGATCTAGCCGCTTTTGAAACATGGTTAATCCTATAGTCTGAGAAAATAAATTTACGCTTGCGTACGCGAAAATATAGGATGGAAATCGATATGAAGACATCTGGGTGCCAACTGCACAATCTCTGAAAATATCATGGCTCATTGGTTTAAGGGTAGTAGATGATATGCCCGTCATATAGATTTGATGACAGGTATGATGCAAAATTTGCTCTTAGATGTCTAAATCATAAAACGCGAATGAAAATTTTCGATCCTGAGACACAAATATAGAGCTCCCCTACCTAGTAGTGAAGAAGAAAAAAGTGTTTAACTAATTTAATCACTATAAAAGAGTATTGAAAATGTCGTGCATCAAGTGTCACAACGATACAATTTTTCCATTTTCTTAATAAATAAAGCTTTTCATTCTTAAGGATCCTTTAATTTCAGTTTGATTTTATATTTGAAATATTAGAAAACATTTTCTATGACAATCTAATTGCGTGCTTTTTTTGGTCGAATTTCTGTTAACTTTCTTCACTCCGTCATCTTACTAATTTTTATGAAATATCTGGATATGCCGATTTTTAATGAGATTATCACGATAATTTAACAAAATATCTGATTTTGAGTTGTCGTTTGTGACAATTTTTGAAAAATTCATAATGCTAAGAAATTTCTGTCAGATGAATGCATTGGTAGTTATACTGCCTATTCGAAGATCCTTAAAATGCATAGTGCGCTTTCTCATGTTTACTTTTTTTTTCAGTATTTTCTAATGGTAGAAGTTCTACGTACAAACTGTCCTCGTTTATTTATTATTTTTATATATTTCTTTTCAAATAGAAATAGAACATTTCATCATCTTCCATTAAGAAAGGGTTTATTTATGAGAAAAATTCAAGGATAGGTAGGTATCTACATGAAAAATAAAACTGCAATATTTTTTTTTCAGTAAAGAAATAAGAAACTTTACCTCAATACATAGGAATTGATTTTCTTAATAAAATCACTCTATTTTGATATTGGTTATTATATACTATGTTCATATAAATTTTTTATTTATACTTTTTGATTCTATTCCTTGACATCTTAGGATGGTAGTTACGGCCATCCGATGTCCAGCTGCACAGCATATTTCACTGTCAATTTTAGCTTTAGATCTAATGTCCTGTTGGCCAGGACAACAAATATAGAGTTATCATGGATTCTTGTCTACAAAGTGTATATATCGCCACTCTAATATGATGGAGCTGGGTTTGCATTAAAGATAATCACGTTCAGTTTTTTATCCGGAACTGTGCAACTGAGTAATGAGGACCATTTCCCGTGATTGGTAATTTAGTTATCTTTTTTCCGTCATGAAAGATATTGGCTTATCTGGCTGATCTCTTCCGGCGCCATATTTCCCTAATTGGTAAGATATGAGAGGAATTTGATGGTTTATTGGAGCAGCATAGCTTTAGTCCAAATTGGCGTTACTATACGGAAGTAAATGAGTCTTTTACAGTTTGGTGGAAGGTAAGAGCGTTTGTCTAGTAAGTGTTGAACTAGTCAAAACATTTAGTAGTTCCTAATAGTTTCAGTGTTGTATGAGGATTCCAAATAAGACGTTTGTCCAGATGGATTCCTAGGTAGTGGATCTGTTTAACTGGGATGAGTGGAATGTTGTTGAAGGATACTATACGATACGAAGTCAAAGGTTTACAAAGGAAAAATGTGATTTGATGGAAATGGTTTTAATTATCCAATTATGACACCATTCTTCAAGGTTTATGAAATGTGAATGAAGAGTTTGGGAAGCAATAAATCATAACAAACTGATAACACACATTTGTCGTTAGTATACGTGGAAATGATAGCATTAAGATGAGCTAAAATGCCAGCTGTATAAACTGTATTTAGGATGGGATCGAGGATACTACCTGGGGAACACCAGCGCGAGGATAAAAGAGCATAGGCAATACTATTCAACAAATTGTATAGATAATAATTATATAATAGTAAAATTATTTATATTTTATTACCCTCCCTTGCTTAATGGGCTATACGGACAAGATGCATAACATACTGCAAGTGAACCAGTTAACAAGTTTTTATCTTCGGCGACTTCTGATAAAGGATGACCGTCTTGGTGCTGGTCCTCTTTTCCGTGCTCCAATGTTGAGGTGGGCTGGACCCACTGCCTCCTTCCAGTCATCAATAAATTTCATTTCCTTTCAGCTGGAAGTTCTCCTTACTTACCAGTCGAGGAAGTTCTTCCTTTGTTAGGACGTAAATTCCTGCTGCTCTCTTCATTGTTGCCCTTATTCCTTTGAATGCAGTGCAGGTTATGACCACTTGCCCGAGTCTCCAGAACTTCAAAAGTGGGGCAGTAGGGATATGTGTCCTGGTTAAAGCTATGTAGCTTCTTTGCTCTTTAAGTTATGTAGGAGTTGCTCGAAAACTCCTATACCCAGAGAGAAATAGTGAAATCTAATAGTCCAGGAGGAACCATTGTGCGGGGGGGGGGGAGGAAGTATTTCCTGAAAGTACTCCCTTTCGGGGTTGATGGGGTGTGCTTTATCAGTCATGCCCTTCAAGAAGATGGCTTGTGTCTTTTCAGCAGCCATCCTCATCTTCTTTCTGTCACATTATCTTAATACAAGGTTCATCACTCTGCCGCTTCTTTGATACCCGCCATGCTGTTGGATGCTACCACAGCAGCTAGGTCGTCAACATAGGTAGTGGCCGAGCACCGGTCATTTTCAAGCGTAAAATTATTGCTGACCAAGTTTTTTAATTATTTTGTTCTATCCTCATAACCCTTCTTATCTATTGTCATTATGTTGCTAACCTTCATCCTCCCGCTCCTCCAATAATTTCTAAGCATCTATCTCCTGATTTACTATTGACAGAGAAATTTCTAACAGTATTTTTTAAAAAAATCATCAATACTATATAACGGTGCTGATGTTTTAACTTCGGAATATTCGGAGGATTCAAAAATAGATATATTGTTTATAACTAAATTGAATTAGTTATCAGGTTCGAACCATCTGTAGTTCAAAAACACATTAAACAAAACAATACCCGACATTTTACCATTGCAATTTAGGTATTCACCAAACTATAATTTTCAAATTGTACCTTTATTCGTTTAGAAAGGTGACATATTATTATGTCATCTCGCCAACGCACGATCAATATCAATTACTCAATTTTTTTTCATCCTTATATGTTCTAATCAATAACTTCAAACATCAGTATAAAACTCCTGGTTTTAACACTTTTCTCAAATATATCAAAAGATAAGATAGGTCATGAATTTGTAAACCATATTCAGGACTTACATTTTCTTTTCAGACCTTGTCGATCTTTTGCCTCCTAAACCAGACTTCTCCATCTGTGCCTATCTTGCGCCATTTCGTTTCATTTCTCTGAATGCTGCATTACAGCATCATTGTTGATTCGGTCTGCCCGTTAGGTATTTTCTCTTCCATGTGGACTCTTCTATATTATAGAGGTATTCATTGTTGTGTAGAAGCTTCTTGATATATTACTCCGATCTATATACATAGCAGGACTTTAATTGAAAGATGCAAAGCAAAAACCATCCAATGGTCTGTAGTCGAGGCTTCAAATAAGAACTAATACAGTGGCCTGTCATGTACTTCTGTTTTTTTTTTTTAATCACGCCCTTAATCCTCAAGAATTTAAGGTCCTGAAACATGACTGACCATTTATTCGATTCAGTTCGATTATTTGCCAATAACGAAATTTCGCCCGCTTCGGTCCACTACGTGCAAACTCTGATTTCACTCATTGATGCTTTTTTTCATGTTTGAAATTTTCTGAAAAGTCCTAACATTGCTGTCTGTAAGAGGGTGTAAGTGGGAAATTTTCACAAAGAAGAATATGATAATGAAAGCTTATTCAAAGATATAGGAATTTATTTTAGCCTATCAATTGCACTTATGACACGAAATTACAAAGGTTATCTCTTTACTCGTGATAAAACCGGAATCGAAAACATTGTCTCAATGGGCTTCTATGAATCTTAATACAACCATTTGACAAAAGCTTCTAGATCTTCATGATGTTATTACGTTCAAACCTAATTTGAAGAAATGAAAGTTTGCTTCTTCTATTCATTGTTTATTTTTTTCAACCGTATAAATTAGATTATATCAAAACACATGTTTTATTTTTTTAAATACATTTTTTCTACCACAACATTTTGAACACAGATTGATTCAATAAGAAAAATTACTGCAGTGTTACATTATATTCATTTATTTCCTCGTAACAGAATTGTGTCATAAAATGCCTTAAATGACAAATCGGTAATAATTTAATATCACAATTGAAGTGCCATGGAATTTTGAGGTTAGCCATTATATTAGAGAAAAAAACATAATACGATGTGAAAATTCATAAAAGTAATTCTAAATTGACTCCTTGTTATGAAAATAAGTCAATGCTGTCGTCATTATGATAAAAGAGTACTCAAAGTCAAGCGGAAAAAGAGAGTGTACATCACTTTACCCCACAAATGCAATTGTAAGTACTGCCCAGTTGGAAAACCGAAAGGAATACTAAAAAAGAGGAAGTCAGTGACATTCAAAAAGTCTTGTTCTGGGGCATACAAACAACTAAAGAGGATGGCGCCAGAAAAAAGAAAAAGAGGTAATTCAGATAATATCTCTTTTACGAAAAGTTTTTTAAATTTTTTAAAAGCTATTAAAAAGAGATTAACACCATATGCTCCACAGGAAGTGTCGTTTGTAGTTGGGAATGTATGGTACAGAATGATCGCAGACGAAAAAGGAAAAGAAAAAAAACCGTCCCTCAGGGTCAGTAAAAGGAGAAGAAGAAGAAGGAGTAGAAAAAAAGAGAAGGAATTAATGAAGCTTTGTAAAAAGAAACTGTAAAATGATTATTGTAAAAATTTGAGAAGAAATCGTAATTTCTTACTATCACTCTCTCTTTTGTAGTAAACATCTCATTTTTTTTTAAAGTGGACGAATAGAAGGTACTTACGTATCAAGGTGTCATCTTATATATTATACATGTTATATTGGTTTTGGTTATAAAGTTCACTGGAGAACTATCCTTTATAGTTCGTTTTCAAATACTTCATGTTTGTGTCCATTTTCACAGGGAAGTATCCATCCTTGGTAAGACACCAAACATGAATGAAACGTGTCCTCCTTCATCTCTTGAGCGAGCGAAAATCGTCATTTATAATTTGATTTATTAAACCATAATATTCAATGAATCTTACAGAATAAAAGAAAAATTCAATTCCTTAACGAAGAAAACAAACGTCATCACGTTATAGTGTCAGGTTATCACCAAAACCAATATAACATATGTTTTACCGAAAAAAAAAGTTGTGTTTTACAGTCACGTTCTTTAAGAAATTTACTTATTATTGATCCAGAGCATTATTTGATCATTTCATCTTTGATCGGATTTGCACGAAATTGCCTCTTTTTTATGTTTATCTATTGGGATGTGCCTGCCTTCCTCAAGCCAAGAAGGGGGTTCTATGGCGCAAGTTTTAATATTGGCCCTCAAAATGTTTACGAGGTGGAGAGGCACATTTGTACATTGTCGTGATTTTATGGAGTGAATTATATTTCGGTATGTTTTAAATTGTAAACGAACTTTCAAACCAATCAATAAACAAAAATAAGACATTCTGAGGTTTATTTGTCTTTCAATCATTAAGACCGCCGCATAGCAGTATACCGGAAGAGTGGCGAAAATGAATTTACTATATAATAAAAACAACTAGCGCCTCTTCTTTTGTTATCAAACACAGAATAAATCTAAAATAAAATAGCAACAAATGTAAAGACCAATATTTTGAACAATTACCACACATCATACTAGTTTATTAACATTGAAATCCCTTGTTACTCCTCTGACATCACTTCTTATTAATTACGTGTTTCACCACGTCCTTTCTTTAAAAAATCCTTAAATGATTTCAAAGAAATCAACATCCATTTTCCTTTCTAATGGGAATGGTGTTAAAAATCAATCCGACTAACTTCTCAAACATTATTACTAGGTAAGAACATGTGACATCAATTGATGAAACTCGACCAACCTCCAAACAGTTTTTCAAAATTCCTCAATACTTGAAATACCGAACCGACCAATCTTACCGAACCGAACCAAGGACGTGCTAGTACTAAGATGGTGCCTCTCGACCACCTCCTGCGAGAAGAAGTGACCAGGTACGATTACAAGAGGGAGGGCTCAAAAGCTCTGTCGGAGAAATTACGGATGAGAATTATTGAAAACCAAAATATATAGAAAAAGATTATCCGGGAGAAAAAAATTGAAGACTGGAGCAGACGGTGGGTGACGACTCCAAAAGGCAGTGCTGGGAAAATACTTTCCCACCGTTGAATTTCGGTTATGATCGAAATGGATCCTCCCGGACAATTGGATTTCACAATTTCTCACGGGTTATGGCGGTTTCAGATCTAAACATCATGGCCTCTGACAGGATATAGATCCCCACTGCCCCGCTTGTGGTGTTCCGGAGACTGTTGAGCATGTGGTCACGGTCTGTACTGCTTTCGACGGATTAAGAGCCAGGTTAATGAGAACCACGGGAATTTACGTCCTCACTGAGCAGGAGTTTTCTCAATTGGCGACTGAAGAAAACTTCCCGCGTTTCAAAGAGTTCATAAATGGCTGGAAGGAGAAGCGGACCAGTCCCAGGAATAACTTCGGATTCGGGAAGCCAGGTCTAATTTGCTGAAGAATGAGGAAAAGTAGAAGAGCTTGTGTGCACAGCTTTGAATTTTGTAAATTGATATTATGGCAGTATTTTGTTATTATGCAATAATGCTTACCATCACACTACTTTATACACCCGTACTGCCTTGGTGGCATGGGAGGGTGGAAATTAAATAAAAAAAAAAAATATCCGCATACCGAATTCATAAAAATCAGATATTTATAAGACTGCTGGAAGACTCATGGCAGAAGCCGAAAATCAAGAGGCATAGAATGAAAAAATAAAAATGGTTAACATTATTTAATGATATATATTTTTTTTCCTACGCCTAAGTAACGCCTGCTTCATTAACCATGCGTGCTCTTGCAGTCCATTACAGTTTTGCTCTCCTAGCATAAGGGCTGTCCATTTCATTAAAGGAACATCTTATGTCCTGTAATGCAGGGCATGTATCAAGATGTTCTCCTGTCATCATGTCTAAGGAACATAGAGGGCATGTCGGGCTATCTTTTACACCGATGCGGTGGAGGTGCTTCTGAAGGAAATCATGGCCTGTGAGCATTCTAAAGGATGCCACGGATTGCCATCTAAGGATGTCTCTAGGAATTCTGCCACTTTCTTCCAGCAATCCTCTCCATCGTTTCCCTTCAATTGTTTGTACATATTTCTCTTTCAGTGAACTTTAGAGGGGCTGTTTTATAATTATTTTCTTGAATCCATGGCGAGAGGTATATCGAGTTGGATCATTCCAGAACCTATTCTGGCCAGTTTGTCAGCTTCATCATTTCCGTGGAGCCCGCAATGGCCTGTTATCCACTGGAAATCGATTTCTGTCCCATTTTCCTTTAATTGTTTCAAATATTGATGGCATTTAGGAACACTTGGATTTATATTATATCCATTTTGGATAGACAAAATGACTGCCTGTTAGTCAATAAAGAAAACAACTTTCTTGTCTTTCCGTTCAATTAATCTCTCAAGGTCTAAGAGAATGGCTTTCACTTTCCCTTTTTTGTGGCTACCTTTCCGACCGGGGTGGAAAGTTGAAACTCCTTTGAATAAACTCCAGCTCCGGCATGTTTGCGTGCTTTCAGTGCAGAACCATCAGTATATACATGGAGCCATTCTGTCTCTGGGAATCGTTTTCCGATTTAATGATATAAAAACATGGGTACTTTTTGTCTAGCAGGCCGGACTGAAACCTCACTTCTTATCTATCTAACGTCACGTCACATAACCTCCCTCTTCTTATCCCGCCAAACCTTTCAATTATTGCATTGTTTAATTTTCAGTTATTGCCTTATTACGTTCACTTATTAAATTCTTTACTTTTAGCCCATTTGTGTTTATTTTTCATTATTTTTAATTTTGGGCGCGTTTGTGTTTATTTTACATTTTTTTTGTTTGTGGCCCCTTTGTGTTTCTTTTCGTCATATTATGGACCTTCTTAGAATATGGAATTTGCCGACTTCAGAAGAACAGGCACTTCAATATTTTTAAAATGTTGGGGTACTTGCCGACGTGAAAATGTGTGATCGAGGTCATCGAATGAAGTCAACCAGAAAGGCCAAATGGAGATGCTTTCGTAGGACTTATGACACAAAACTTTTTAACAGCTTTAAAATTGATTGTGCCCATGACATGTTATACAGGCCAAGAAAAAAAAAATGGAGGACCTGGCAAAGTGGTTGAAGTAAAAGAAAGTCTTTTTTCTAAACGAAAAAATCATGTCGGGAGAGTTTTATTTCAGCAGTGGATGTTTGGTGGAGTTTGGCGAGAAACAGATGAATGTTTTGTCTTTTTATAAAACAGATTTTGTTTTATATTTTTTCTTTTCTATGTAAATATGTTCTTTTAAATGTGTTTTATTATTATTTCATTTTGATGTTTTATATGTACATATCTTCTTAAAGTGTTTTTTTTATTATTTCACTAATATATGTGTCGTCAAATAAAAGTATTTTTTTTTGTTATTACATCTGTTTTTGTATCTGTTTACACTTTCAATAATACGAATTTAATACAATAATACGAAGATATGAAGTATAAGAAGGCTTATCACTGCGTTATGGGAGTTATCAGTGTTCAGGTTATAAACATTGGCAGATAGCAGTCAGTAGCGGCCCCCTAGACGAAAAGTACCAAAACATGAAATTTATTTTAATCACCGATCGATTAACAAAAAAAAAATATATATATAGTCCTGAAGATGGACATGGTAATTCTATGTTTTACCGAATAAAGAAGGACAAAAAAAGGTTTGATTCCTGAATTTTATTAAAACGCGGAATAATTTCTTGCTTTATTAGAAAAAATATGCAGCAATCGAATTCTTTTGTCGAGATGACTATCGCTAACAGTTGTTAATTAGTCGTCCTGAATATAGGAGAAGAAATTGCTATTATTATAATTATAGAAGACTATAATTATAATATTAATTTGACTACAATTATAAGAATAATTATTATATTATAGTTTAGATCAAAAAGTCTATTGAAAAGAGTTAACAGTTCTGAGAAAATTAGGTAACATTGGATAAAACAGATTTTTTATTTGTTACTCTTATAATTCGGTTTGGATTCTTTAGTAGAGTTATGTTAGACAATTTACGTTTGGTTATTAATACAATATTCCGGGAGATATATTGTAAATTATTATTTTAGAAAAATAATAAAAATTGAACTTGTTTTTATGGGAACCTGTATTGCATGTTTATATATTATTTATTAAAGTTGTTTGCTGTCAATAGGCCGTATCGTCGTTTACTTCGTCAAATGAAGATGATTGAGTCACCATTTTGTATATTATTTTCTCATTGGTGCGAAAAATAAGCACTTCCCTTCCAAGATATAAAAATTATGAAGATATTTATGAAAAAAAATAGGGAAAATTTATTTCACATACCTCAACGACTTTCCCATTTATGGTTGATTATGCGCTACCCCCTCCACAACAAAGTTGTCTGAGCGCAGTTGCTGGTGAACTACCCACAACGTCAGAACTTAAGATGGTGTTAGGCCATGATTTAATGAAAATGATAAATTAAATATGATTAATGTACTGAGGCAACAACTTATCAATAATCAAACATAAGTGACTTCAATACATTTTTATTCATTACGTTCAGTCGCTGCCAGCTCTTCAGACATTACGAAGAAGTGTCCTGCTTCTCTATTGAGTGATTGTTCAATATTTGCGTAAGTTGTTATATTTAATAAAATATTACTACGTGTAACTACCTGTAATAATTGTTTAAATTAATGATCCTTCAATTTATTCCTTGTAAAAAGTTTTAAAAAAATGAAAAAACCGTCCAGCTAATCAAGTGATGTTCATGGCATAAAAAGTGTCCTTAACTAGTAGGGGTAAGAGGATTTTTTATTAAGTCCTTCGGTATTAGATCCTAACACATACTTTGTGTGTTATTACCAATTACTGGCTGAAGAAGTGAACTGTAAAAAATCTAACGGGCTGCCACTTTTCAACATAATGGTGGACGCCTATATCTCAAAAAAATCTGTCCAATATTTCTTGAAATGGAATACCTCAAATTTTGATGAAAAAACATTTAATTTTTTTTAGTCGATTACAATGACTCATTATTAAAATTAATAAATCAAAATTATATGTATTTTTTTTTTAATCTTAAAATATTTATATGCACCTGTAGATGAACTATTGACAATCGGCAGAACATGGTGAAGGATAGCACACAACAGCTATCAATGCTGGACACAATTGAACACTTTAATAAAAAAACAACTTTTCAAATATGTTCCGGTTTAGGCAAATTGACAAACACAAGCACTTCTTTCATTTGAAGCGATATTTTTGTTATTAATGTAAAAAAAAAAAAAAAAATCTGTACCACTGCAACCCATGAAGGGTTTTGAGTTCAGTACTATTTAGGGAAAGCACTGTTTCTAGATCAACGGTTGTGCAAGGAGGTGATGTGACAGAGATCACGCTCAACCGCCAGGTTTTTCCCCTTAATTAATCATTTAATTAAGAGTACCCACTTTATAGAGGCTGAGTGTGTCCCAGGGTCGCCCCACGGCCAATGAAACAGATAAATAAATTGTCCGCCATGAGCCGGGGTTGGAACCTGGGACCTTTAGCATTGGAAGCTCAGTATCATACCACTGAGCTACCCCACTCCCTTGTTATTAATGTAGGAAGTTAAAATAAAGTTTTAATGTGCGCAAGCATTAAAGATCTTCATTTAATAAAATTAATAGAGCGTACGAAATTATTTAATGAGACAATGGGGTGTGCATGAAAAGCTGTCTTTTAATCTTTTAATGTACATAAAATCACAAGTTTTAATATATATATATATATATATATATATATATATATATATATATATATATATATATATATATATAAAACTTAAGATATGGATTATAGTCGGATAATAGGTAATGAAATTATCCGTAATATAAGAAAATCTAAGACCCTAATAACAATCTCATAATGAAAAACAATGCAATACCAAAACTTTTACTTAGTTGAGAATTAATAAGATTTTTGATCAATACAAAAAAAAAAAATGCATGACCAATAATAATAATAATTCGACTATAATTCATATCTTAAATTATAATATACTAGAGGAACATTATTACCAACTTTCGCAACTGTTCAACCCAGTTATTTTTTATTTCTTTACTAGCTTTACCCGGTCACACTCTCATGTGGCTTAGACTGACAAAATAGAAAAGAAAGAAAATATAAAGCATATATCAGTGGATTTATACCAAAGGACATTTGTAATTTTTAAAAAGTTGGGAAACAAATTTGTCTGTAAAATGGCTTCAATTTAAACTAATCCTAATATTTTTTTTCATGATTCAACTTGAACATTCGTAATCATCTGAGTGAATTGGGCTTTATTCTTAATCATCAGGAACAGTATATCAAGCTACTCATATATTTTCATATTTAATTTAATTTAATTTTATTTTATATTTAATGTATTGTTTAATGTTCAACTATGTGTTGATCATTTTATGGCAAATAAAAATGTAAATGTTTGGTTGTTTAAAATCTTAAATCTCAGAAAGTTCTTCACCCATTGCCTTGAAATTTTGGCATTTAAATACGTGCGTGGTTTAATATATCTACTTAAATATAGGGTGAACTATGCATATTTATTAAAAACGCACCATCAGTTGGATGTAAAAGCAACACACGCGGTTCAAATATTTTAGGATACTGTTTCAATGTTAAAGATTTTCAAATATATATCGTGGCAATGCATTGAAATGCATTTATCATAGCGTTCATTTCGTGTGCATTAGATCTGCCTTCTAAGATGCCTCAAAAGATTTCACATACCCCTTTTAAGATAGTTGATTGCTTCTTATCAATAAAAATTAAATATAGAGTTGTTAAAAATGTAATGCACGAAGAAACCAGACTCACGAAAGAAATCCCACGGTAAACGGCACAACCTTATTCCAACATAATGTTAGAGAAAAGAATTTATAAAAAAATAAAATAAAATGAAATCAATAAAAACTGATCTCTAAAAGGAACGTTAACGGTGATAAGTATTACTCAAGAGGTAAATCTTTTAAAATAATAGCAAATCAAATATTTTAAATGTATCATACTACTTCCTGAATACATTGGGAAGAAAATAAAAAATGAATATAAAGAGCATACAATAGTAATGACCTACATAAGGAGAATCATATCAATTCTTCATATGATAATTTAAATTAGTGTAATAATTATAAAATTTTCGATTAATCAATAACAAAAAAGGAAATGGCTTTTTCTGAAGAGAAAGCAGTAAATGTTTAATACTGTATAACTCTGCAACGAATCGACCGGTTTTAATGGTTTTTTTTTTATTTTGGCGGAAAATCAGGAATCTTTCAAATAAATGTGGGTATTAACAATAAAAATTGTGTGCGTTTTAAATCATCTGCAAATAGAATATTGAATTCATCGTAACATTTTTCAGCTTGTAAATTTATGTTATACACATAAATTAAAAGGGTTTCAAAGGGAAGACTTAAGCCAAGTTTCGTTAAAATCGTTAAAGCCGTTTTGGCGCTACAGTTTATAGCATCACATTTTTTTGCAGCTTTGAACAGAAAAACATTTACATTTTTATTTTGTTTACATATATATAAAATTACGAATCTTTCGAAGACAGAAGTACTATTCTAGAAACCTTTCCAAGAGTGTACAGAACAACTTCCCAAAGTTTCATGGCGATCGGATGAATGGTATAGTAATGCATAAAGGACAAACAGACAGGAAGACATACATTCATTATTATATATACAGATAAAAGTCGAATTATAAAAAAAAACATTGTAATATATATATGTGTGTCTGTGTGCGTGTCTGTGTGTCTGTGTGTATATGTATATATATATTATTTATTTCTCAACCAACTAGTTATTCAAATTTGCAGAATCAGTGAACATGCTGTAAATTATAATGAAATAAAGTAAATGAATTATATGGAAGTAGGTACCAAAGCCAAAAACTTGAACAGCTCGCAATGAGGTAAGAGATTCCTTGTCTTTCTTCTTTTACATTCGAGATATCAATATTAGATTTTTTTATCACTTACAAAGTTACAGTCAGTGGGTGGGTCACCGATTTCAACCAATTTTTTTTCGGTGACACTAAATCGAAAAATATTTGACTCATATCCGTGTCCATATCCGTGTCCGTGTCCGTTCTAATGGGTCCTAGGGCCCGAGAAAAATGTTTTTACATTTTTTTTCACAATATTTCTCCAATTCTTCTTCGTTGCATACTATTTATTTTCAAGTTTATTTATTTTCAGCCATTTTACACCAATTTTCAATTTTTTTTGTCAACTTAATGACTACACATCTGATTACGACGTTTCGGCTCGTTGAGCCATTTTCAAGTCTAAAAAATGTTTACAATTTACAGTCATATTTAAAACATTACATACTTCAACATATAGAGATTCATTTTATATATCTAAAATACCAATCACGTACCTGTCCTTTTCAACTTATGCGAATTGCATGCGTCTACTCATGTAAAAAAAAAAAGACTTAAACAGCACAAACAAAATTGTAATTCAAAAAATACAAACATTCTTTTTTTTTTTTTTTTTTTTTTTTTTTAACTTGATTCTTCAACTCACACCTGTCAGAAGTTCCGACAATCAGCGAGTGTGATGTCAATATGTAGAGATTGGTCTTGGAATAGGCGTGAGGGAGAGGAGTACCCAGCGGCGTCCTTCCTGTCTTGACCGTAATGTTTATAGTTAGTGGAGGAGATCCCTCATCCAGCTTCTTTTAAGCCTCCTTCGGGTGTTATCGGGCATGTTAGTTGTGGCCATGCCTCGAATCAATGAGTTTGTATGTCCGTGTAAGTTATTATGAAATCGTTTGTAGTATGTTCGTATGTGGTCGTTAACTGTTGGCATCTGTAAGTCTTTATGTAGAGTAATGTTACTGACGTACCAGGGAGCTTTGGTGATAGTCCTGAAAGTTTTAGATTGAAAAGTCTGTAATTTACGTATGTGAGTCTTTTTGGCTGTCCCATATATCTGTAAAGCGTAGGTCCAAATAGGCTTGAGTAGGTAAATATATGTATTCAATTTCTGTCTAAGTTTTAATTTCGAATTTCTTGCAAGGAGTGAGTACAATAGGCGTAGTCTTAGGTTTAGAGTTTTTGTTTTGTTTTTAATATGTTGGCCCCATGTCATTCTTCTGTCAAAGGTCAGTCCAGGATATTGAACTTTGTCAGTCTGAGGAATTTGGATATTGTCAAGGTAAATAGGGGGGCAAGTTTCACGTCGAAGGGTAAAAGTGATATGTTGTGATTTGTCTAGGTTGAGTCGAATTTTCCAGAGTTTGCACCAGTCGTAGAAATTGTTTAGGTGATATTGTAAAGTCTGTGAGGCGTATGCTGAATTTTGATGCCTTGTCAAGATTGTTGTATCGTCTGCGTAAGTCGCGGTCAGAGTATCGAGAGGATCTGGAATATCATATATGTAAATAATATACAACAGAGGAGCGAGTACTGACCCCTGAGGCACCCCTGCTAGGGCTGGTTTAATGGTAGATAGTTCTGTACCTTGGCAAAATTGGAGAAAAATCTGTCAGAAAAAAAAGATTGAAGAATAAGATAGTAGGTTGGAGGGAGTATAGTCTTAAGTTTGAAAAGAAGTCCCTGATGCCAGACTCTATCGAACGCTTGAGCAACATCCAGAAATACTCCTGTTGCATATAATTTGTGCTCTAGTGCTGTTGCAAATAGAGAGTCACTCGGTGTAGCTGATGAATGGTTGAGTGGTGTGAACGAAATCCAAACTGATGTTCAGGTATTATGTTTTCAGTAGTCAGTATGTCAAGAAGTCGTTTGTAGAGAAGTTTCTCAAAGATTTTAGAACATAATGGGAGCAAGCTGATGGGTCTGTATGATGAAGGAATGTCAGTGTTTTTGTTAGGTTTGTGAATCATTTTTATGAATGAATATTTCCATTGTAAGGGGAATTTAGTCGTTCTGAGTATTGCGTTATAAATTGATGTTAGGTATACTAGAGCTTTCCTTGGCATTTTCTGGAGCACTTGAGCATTTATCAGGTCATGACCAGGAGCTTTCTTTTTAGGTAACTGTCTGATTTGTTCTGCAACTTGAGTGGGAGTGAAGCAAAGTGGAGGTAATGACAGTTGTAAAGGAATATCTAAAGTCTTTTGTACATATCTTTCGTGATCAGTATTAGAGAAGTCAGTATATGGTATGAAAACAGAAGAAAGATGGTTGGCAAAGAGCTCAGATTTTTCAAGGTCTGACACAGCCCAGGAACCATCTACGTTTCGGAGTGGTGCTGACACCTCACGATGCTTTACAAGTTTCTTAGTCTGTCTCCATAAGCTTCCATCGTCAGTCGAAAGATTTTTGAGGTAATTGTCGTAGATCATTCTTTTAAAATTCTGAATCTGACGTTTAAGTTCATTGTTAAGTCTATTGAAAGTCCGTTTGTCAGATGGGAGTCGACCAGTCTGCCACACTTTGCGCGCTCTTCTCTTTGCTCTGATCAGGTCTCTAATGTACTGCGGATAGATTGGAAGAGACGTATTTCTGCTGGGTCTTGGTACAGATGATGACCATACAGCCTGTTGTAAGCTGATTGTGAACTTATCAACAGCTTTTTCGAGTTCCTCTTCGGTCTTAAGGGACATTGGGATTGATAGCGTCGAATTTAAGTAGTCGCTGTAAGCTTCCCAATCGATTATCCTATCTGTAAGTGTTGATTTTTTTGATGCAGTACGAGGCTCATCGCATAGTACCAAACTGAGAAGAGAATGATCAGAACAAAGATCAGAGCTTGCAGTTACAGTATACGGCACTGTCCTGAGTCCTTTAGTATTGAAAAAGTCAAGTAAATCTGGTGTTTTCTGTCTTGAAGTTGGCCAGTAAGTGTATCAGGTGAGATCGTGTTTAATGAAAGCTGATCGATGGCAGACTTTAGATTTCTTCCTCAAGGAGTACAGAGTCGTGCTCCCCAGGACTGATGTTTGGCATTATAATCACCACCTGCAATAAAACACCGACCGAGATGTTGGAAGAAATTGTAAAACATTGCAGATGTTAGCACGTATCTCGGAGGGCAGTACACTGCAGCGAAGGTAATGGTATAGTGCTGGGTATACAGAGTAATTGCTGTGGATTGTATGTCATGTGTAATGGGTAATTGTAAAGGGTTGTGTTTTAGTGATTGCTTAATCAGTATTGCCGTACCGCCATGTGCCGTCTTATCAGGGTGGTCAGTTCTATATATTTTGTAGCCTGGAATGTAAAATTTAGAATGTGGAGTCAAATGTGTTTCAGTGATGAGAGCAATTTCAGTCCGTTTTTCATGTAGGTACATGTCAAGTTCGGTCCTGTGTTGGTTTATACCATTTCCAGAGAAGAACGGACATGGAGCCCACTGTCAGCCGATTAGTAGCCATAACTGGAGGATAAGGCTTGTGCAACGTGAGACAGTTCTTGGAGAAGGCTGAAAAGAGGCTGGATGAGGTTATTCAATCCACTTACCAAGTTGAAGAGCTGAGCTGAAGCCGGGTGATTGTAAGTCGGTGGCGGCGGCTGAGTAAAGCCCTTTTTCATTTCTGGATGCTTTGGCTGGTGAAGGTGATTTTCTGGGACTTCTGTAGGGGAAGTTCGCAGTTTTGGTCCTAGATATTGGGAATCGGGTTTTGAAGAACCTGAATTTGCGGTTTGCTGACTTTGCGGAAGAGAAGGAAACTCGTCTATACCTGGGGGTGCGCTAGTTTGTGCTTTTTGGGGACTTTGTATATTTTTACGGAAATTTCGTACTTCTCTCAGTTGTTTCAGAGTTGCACAACCTCTATAATTTGCTGGATGGGATCCGCTACAATTCGCGCATGTTGCTGCGGTCTCTCTTGTCTTTTGGCAGAGGGTGCTATCATGTCCTTGGCCACATCTAACGCACTTCGGGGAGTGATTGCAGTAAGCCTTCGTTTGGCCATACTGCTGACAACGGGTGCACTGTGAAATCATTCTTTTCTTTCTAGGTTCTTCGATTTTCACTCTAATATAGTATAAATATTTAATATCAAAAATGTTTTCATTAAATGTGGCTTTAGAGATGTCGATAAAGAACATGGGAAGTGGATTTTTATATCTGGAAATAACGTTCACAATACTTGTGGCATCGTAACCTAGGCATTTTAATTCGTATTTTATGGTTTCAATTGGAGTAGCATGGTGTAAGTTTTTTAATACAATTCTTGGATTTCTATCTTCTATTAACTGATAGGTATGGAAATCGGCACCTACCTGTCTTAAGTTAGCTACTATACGTCTATATGTGTCAGAGTTTTCAGGATATACGGTTACTCCTCTCGATGTGGATTTTAGGTTAAAGCTGTTCAAACCTCCTACATTTTGGAGAAATGTGACCAGTTCGGTGTAGTTCTGTACATCATTCAGATGGATAGGAGGCGGTTTTACAGAAACCGGTTGCTTAGTGGTAGCATCAGACTCGTCACTAATGTTAGTTAAAATTTCAAAGCTATTTGAGGTTATTGTTGTAACTTCGCTTACCTTTTTAGCTTTTCTTGGGTCTCTGTTATTGTCCATTGAGCGTTTTCTTCCTGTAACGAGTTCCCAATTATTTTCAGTAGTTTGGTTTGAGCTTAAGGCGTCCACATTTTCTGTAGAACTGCCAGATATCGACGTCTCAGACATCGTTTGCGGTGAAACCGCTACGCCGATGTGTGGAGCTCCTATTTCTTGGAGCTAATTGGTTTCAACAACAGAATGCAACAAAAAGAAAAGTTTTCACTGTTAATTTACTCTAAGATTTTGTCAAAAAGATTTTCATAGAAAAATTAACCTCACTTTTATCAATGTTCACACATTCCAATGAATTTTGAAATACAAACATTAAATTAGCTATTGGGCTCTCTCAGCACACTATGCAAACAAAACATAAATTTGACTTCAATAACGCTAAAATCCTACATAGTGAAAGTAATATGAATAAACGTAGAATAAAAGAAGCAATATACATAGCTAAAATTTTTAAAAAAACTCTGTAAATAATCATACAGATGTAGATAATATGAATACCTTTTACGCCAGTTCGATTGAAAAAATAAAAATATGAAATGAATTAGCTGATTGTACTTAAAATAAATCCATATATAATATTGGGAAACATCATTGTATATGTTTAAAATAAATAGTCTTCTCCTACTCCTTTAAGAATAACCAGTCACGCAACTGAAATGAGGCTGATGAGATGTCGGTGACTCAACATAAGGTAATTTTAACTTATTTGAATCATTTAATAATAAATAATTGAGTAATAATAATGTTATAAAATAATTATAGGTGGGCATGACAAAAATATTTTTTTTTTTTTTTTACATGAGTAGACGCATGCAATTCGCATAAGTTGAAAAGGACAGGTACATGATTGGTATTTTAGCTATATAAAATGAATATCTATATGTTGAAGTATGTAATATTTTAAATATGACTGTAAATTGTAAACATTTTTTAGACTTGAAAATGGCTCAACGAGCCGAAACGTCGTAATCAGATGTGTAGTCATTAAGTTGACAACAAAATTTGAAAATTGGTGTAAAATGGCTGAAAATAAATAAACTTGAAAATAAAAGTTTTTACATTATTTCAAACAAAATTTTTCATTTGCTATGCCCGGATTTTTAATATTATATTTTGATAGATTTCTTTTCAAAATAAGAAGAAAAAATATTGACTATTGTGTTAAGTGAGTTATAATGCGTCACAAATTACAAAAACCAAAAGGCGCTACCAATAAAGTAGGTCAAGTACATTTTTGTTATGAAAAATCAAGTTAGATTTGTTTTTAGTGTACATTAAAACTATTAAATATAACTTTTTATAGAAATCTAAAATTTAATACTTGAAAAAACTACTTGGCTGAAAAAAAAAATGGCTGAAGAAAGGATTTTGTCTAGCCGATAACTAAAGCATTGAGAATTGTTTTAAATATTTTCTAAATTCAACGTTTGTAAATCCGTCGGGGAAGTGGAATTATTGCACACAACCCAGATCGATAACTTTTATATTTCTTTTTAAATTAGAAATTAAGTAAATGGTTTCTCAATCATTTCTATATCATATCCTATATACGTTTATCATATCGATTCATAATACGTTTTGTTTGAATCGGTTTCTCCTTTTTAAAATAATCACATTTTTTGTCGTTGTCGAAAAAACTCCAAACGGTCCAAGCGTACATTTTGTGCAGAAAATTTTAAGATTGCTATAAAAATTCGTATTCAAGGTTTTTTATAGATGCAAAAAACGAATATCAACTTTGTTTCTCTCTAAAAATATATTTACTCTAGTTACCTGACCGTTTTTCAAACAATATCATATTTGGCAGATGCCTAAAGATGGACCAACCAACTTAATAATATTGGAGTGAATATTTTTTTAGGGAGAAACAAAGTTGATATTCATTTTTCGAATATCGAAATTTGGAGTTTTAAATAGAAAATTCATGCCAGTAATCAATTGTACACAAAACACATCATGCCTTAATAAAAAACAAAGCGTTTTGTCTCGACCACTTTTCTTTATTTATTAGATGATGCAAACATGTAATTCATTTTATATGATAGATTCCTGATTATGCATAAGAGAGAACATTTTTTTTTCCAGGACTTTCCGGGACATGTTGGCAGTAGTGATCTTCTTTATCCTGACTGCAACATTTGCCAAATCAGAAAAAAACTATAACCCACTACTAAAATCATTAATGCGTACAAAAAGATGTAATCTAATTTTCATTTGAACATATTGTAAATAAGAAGTAATTTGCCAACTTTGGGCATTGTTTTTATTTTAGGAATATAAATTTAAGTTTTGTTTGATTTAATTTATTTCATTGCTCTTTTTTATACTACCAGGGCCACCGTATTGTTGGCAATCGCCTAAGGGGCCGTAATTCATTCCTTTTCATCGCTGTTAGATCATTAGTGGATCAATAGCGTTGCAAGAAGTACTAACGCCAAATACAGAATGAGAACTTTATGTCTCATAGGAGCGTGAAGGTCACATAGATGCATGCTTTTATTTATTATATTTTTATTATTCAGTATTAAATAGTGAATGGAGAAAACCATATATTTTACCATCATTGGCTGAAAAAAATTAACATTAAAATTTGTGATATCAAGTAAAAATTGTTAAAAAAAAATCAATTGAAATAGAGACCGGTAAAACCCGTAAGCCAGAAGTGGTAGGGGAAAAATCAAATAAAAAACATGAGGCATAGATAACGTAACTCCATCGATGCCAACAATGATTTAATATTTAAATAGAGTGCTACCAGTGGGTAGTTTCTCAACGAGCGTTTTCATGTGAAAATGTTTCTGTGTATTTACATTTACCTGATGTATTTATATTAATACAATTGTAAATATCATAAATAAAAATTAATATATATATATATATATATATATATATTTAAATAATGCCGAAAAGATGCTAAGCTATAATACAGAATATAGAAATTTGAATGTTTAAAATCTATTTGTTTTAATTATAGTTAATATTCAACTTAAATTACACATTTCCAATAGCAGCAATATTATTTTTTCTTACTCTTAAAAATGATGAATTAAAATAACTATAATAAACTTTCATATATGTTATATGGTTAAGTAATCAATCATTGACACTTTAAGAAAAATTTTCAAGTAATTGAGCAATAATTTTTTTATTAATTGACGTAAGTTTCAAAGTAGTTCATACTAGTCCAAGTCTGTTCTACAGATTTCACTTATACTTGATTGGCACTTATACAATATTGGCTAAAATATGTCAAAGTTTTCTATTTTTTGAGCCCACAATAGACGACACGTTTTTCATCTATTATTGACATGCAAAAACTAATTTTCGACCGAGAAAGGAACCAGTAATTGACGCCATATTCAATCATAAAAACGATTTTTTTTTTTTTTTTAACGATATACTTTTTTTATTACAGATACAAAATTATCACACATTAATATATGAACACTTTAAAACTTATTACCTGTGCATAGATATCACATAATGGTACCAGAAAGAAATATTTATCGTGTGAATGGATGGCCCGTCATAAAAATTTTCCGGCTGTATAGAAGGCGAAAATGGGGGAGGACAAATGGCGTTAAAAATTTTCCAAATGCTCATTTCCTTTTACTCTTTAATCTCATCAATGGATGATGGTTTTTTTTTTCTTGTTTTTTTTGGAAAAGAAACTTCATTCTGTTTTCACCGTTGCAACAATTTTGAAACTGTTTAGAGGTAGAATAAACCAGGAGTGATAAAAATTTTCATTCTCATTTACTCTTTTATCTGCTAGATGGATGCTCGTTTTTTTTTTTCCGTTCCAACGATTTTCCGGCTTTGTGGAGGTAGACGAAAATGGGTAAATGGTGTAGAAAATTTTCTGAATTTACAATCGCTTTTTCTCTTTTATATCTTGAATGGATGCCCAGCATTTCACCGTTCCAACAATTTTACAACTGTCCAAAGGTATGCCAATAGAAAGAGGAGTACGCATTTTTCGAATTTTCATTCGCTTTTCCTCCTTTATCTCAGGAATAAAAGATGTGTTTCTCACTCTCTTAGTCTCAGTGAAAGATGACAAAACAGTTTCTTCGTTCAATCCTATCACGAACGTATATAAACTTTGTGTTTTCCCCCAGTTTAAAACAAAAAAAATCTGGTGCGGTGCGCGCATCACACAAATTTCACTTACTCTTCTTAGCAGAAAAAAGGTATTTTCAGACAAAGGGGAAGTAAAAGTGAAAATTATAGACGCTATAGTACCCATATATATACAAATTCTAATATTTATATCGCTTTAATCTATACAATTAAATATTAAATAATACCAACAATAGGATTTAAGAAAACCACATATGTGTATTTATATAATATATTCGGATTCCGTGTTATACACTGACAGGCAAAAAATTCCACCAACTTGGTTTTTTCATTATTTCATCTAAAAATATTTCTGCTTTGGATTGGTCTATTGTTTTAATGAATAAATAGGTAATATTTTTGTTTGTTTTCAATTAGGAATGTTAATATAGAAGATAGTAACCCTTAATCCTTAATTCAATGAAAGAATTCTAGATTCCAATGTTTACTTTCTATGGAATCAAAATGTTTATTCAGTATCATTAGTTCAGTGCCGTTTCTTGCAGCACACCTCTTAGTCTCCGACTTTTAATTTTTTCAACATTAAATGCCTCTTAGTGCTGAGGATGTTGCGCGTGATGTGGCACTTATTGATGATGGACGTTCCATTAGATATGCAGCTAATGCCATCGGAGTTCCATATGAAACCTTACGAGACGCCGTTAGGCGTTTTCGGGAAACTGGTTCTTACAATAGAAGGCCCGGTTCTGGACGGCGGAGGTTAACAGAACCACCGGATAACCGGTTTTTTACTTTGAGAATTTTACGAAACCGGCACCTTACCGTTGTTCAAGCGATTCATTAGCTCGAAGAAGTTCGAGGTGTGCAAATTTCTGAACGCTCGGAGAAGATTAAATCTAAAGTATGGATTAATGGCTTTTCGTCCAGTAAGAGGACCAGAGTTGACCAGAACTCACAGAGTAACACGGTTGGCTTTTGCTCGAGAACACAGCTATTAGACTATGGACTAATGGAGTGCTGTACTTTTTCCAGATGAGTCAAGATTCGCTCTTCGATCTCCAGATTGGCGTGAAAGGGTTTGGAGAAGAAGAAACGAAAGATATGCAGCCAGTAATTTTTCCCAGAGCCAACCTTTCCAACGTGGTATTAAGCTCATGTCACGTATTGCATGAGTGCGTCTTCTAATCTTTCGGGCGAGTTCGAGTGTACTCGTATTCCTTTGGTCCCTCAATTAAACTATTCTCCGTTACGATCTCTTATTTCTTCTTTAGTTAATTATCAAATTATTTTATATTTTATATTTAACTATCTTTTATATTAGAAATTAATGTGAAATGGTCAATTGTTTCAATTAAAAACAATTAAAGGTACTTTAGTGTAAGCTAATATTGAAAATTAGCCATTTAAGCCCTGTTAGAGAACATCAATCAGAATAAAAACTACATTTTATTTAAAACTACCTAATTTTACACTGATAGGATGAATTTAATCAAAATCGTTATAGCCGTTTTCGAGAAAATCTTAAGAATGTGTTTAGTTTATTATATAAAGTGGCACTTCCAGTTATCCGATTTTGACGAAAAAGTTGGTGTAACATCCCTAGCATATAAAACCCTAAAATATGCAATTCCACTTTCATACGATTTTTCGTTTTTGAGCTAGACTATTAACACACACACAAAGACAAACCATTTTGTGGGACATATTTGGTCAGGCTATTTGGACTCAGGAGACCTCAAAACATGTATTTTCGTTGAAAACTGAAATACGAAAATTTTCATGGTCGCAATACTTTCTATTACTATCTATATATTTCATATACAGGTAAGTGAAAGTAAAAATACGAACGATAATATGTCATTCACCGCTACCGAAATGAATTTTGGTATGGTGATCATATTTATACTTGAAAAATTACTAGTTTGATTGATTCAGCTTATGAAAACACTAATTAATATTAACAATTAACAAAAAAAATATGAAGTATTTTTAAACAGGATAATTTTAAAACTGCTTCACGACTTGAACGATGCAAAAAACAAAACATTGTCCTTATTCCAAAAAAAAATATATATATACATTGAAAAATGTAAGTTTCATTGACTAATTTTTCTTTGAAATTCGATTTATCAAAATAGTCTGTAATTATACAATTACTCTCTAATGATAAGAAACGTTAACATTATTGTTAAAAATAAAATTTCTTCTATTTATATAGTTGGTCTATGGCGGCCAATCTCAATGTTTCTCCCATTCAACCTTCCTACAATAGTCTTAAAGTTTACTGTGTGTAATGTGATTTGCGGAGGAAAGCAGTGCACTTGTTGCCATAATATAAATCTGCTTTTAGTAACACATTCAAGTAAGCTACTTAGAATTCATCTATGTTACTATGAAATAGTTTTTATATTACTTATAAATAGTACTGTAAAAAAAAAAAGTTATTTACAACGGTATAAAACGTTCTTATATAATTTATTATAGAATTACTTTTGCTTCATTTTTTTATTTTCACTCGAAGCATTTAGCAAGTCAATATTAATATTATATTTTATACCTATAATAAGTGAATGTAAGTGTGTGTATGCTTGTTTAAAAAATATATGAAAAAGATTGAGTTGTTGAAGTTGAATAGATCACACAAAAATTTCTTTACTACCAAAAGATTCCTAATGACGAAGTCTGGCTCTATAGAAATTGGTCTTAAATGGAGTAAACGAAGACCGGATTTGAATTGAAGGGGCTCGCAGATGTGTGAAGAGCAGCGTGATTACAACCGTAGTAGGGATAAAGCCAATTCAACTCTTCATAAAAACGGGAAGCAGTGACGTCTTTGGAATGCCGAAGATGAATCGTACAAAGTAATTTATAAAATGTTTTAGTTTCACTTCGAGATCCCCGGAGAGGCCTCCGTATACCGTACAGCAATCGTCAAAGTGTGGATATATTAAGGAAGTGACTAGAAGCCTACGGGTTTTGAATAAAAATAGGTAGCAGAGGTAATTTAGACTTATCAAGATCAAAAGGGTATGGCGAGAGATATTGGACACATGGTTTTTTCCAGGAAAGCGTTTGATCAAAGGATATTCAAAAGTTTTTGATGGTGGGATAAAATTTGATAGGATTATCATGTAGGAACAGGGTTGGAAGATTAGGAACAGTTTTAAGTAGGTTATTAGAGCCTATTAAGATTGCCTTTGTCTTCTCGGCATTCAACTTTAACTTGTTAGCACAAATCCTATCCAAGTCTTTTTGAAGTTTTTCTGTGGCTGACAATAGGTCAGAAGGATAGGTATATTTATAAATCGTATACGTAGATGTGCTATTGGGGGAGCGACGAATCAGGAGAGGAAGGTCATTAATGTAAATAGCAAACAAAGTAGGGGATAGAGAGAAACCTTGAGGGATACCACATGAGATGAAAAGGATCTTAGATGGAGATTGACCTGGGACCAATTTGAGGGGAATGATTTCAAACAACGCAGGGCACTGTTGGGTAGAGGAAGACTATGCAATTTAGTAAGCAAGATGTTATAGTCAACTGTGTCAAACGGTTTGGAAAAATCTATAAGGATGAGGATAGTAAGGTTTTGGTGTTCAAAGGAGTTTTGGAGATCATGGATTATTTTAAGGAAAGCGGGTTAGATTGATTAGCCAGGTCTAAAGCCAGATTGGAATAGGTTGATAAGGGAACGTTCCCCTGGGAAGTTGGAGAGTTGATTTAGGATAAGGCGTTCAAAACGGTTTTGAAAGATTTTATAGGAAGGAAGTCGAGCAATAAGGCTGGATATATTATTCAAAGATCGGATTAGGACAGTTTTCCAGGAAGATGGGGATGTGGGTTTGTAATGAATAGTTGTAGATATGATGAAACAAGGGAAAAAGAACAGGAAGGCTGGATTTTATTAGTTTTACTGGAACATAATCAGTACCATAATCATTAGTGTGGGATTTTATGATAGTGGAAAATAATTCATCTTAGGACACATGAGAAAAAAAAAAGGCCTTAAGGATTGAAATTACCTAATTATGAACCTAAAGATGGTTAATGTGATATTGATCCTAATAAGTTTCGGAAGAGAAATCAACTGGAAAATACTGTGAAGGCATGCCTCAAGAATGTGGGGAAGGGTTTTCTGACCATACTAAGCCACAATAATTTATTAAATGGCTTTTCAACCCAATTCAGACCCTTAACTTGAATCGAAAGTCATTTCTTCTTAGAGGGTGTGATGGCCTATCGCATCAGAGTGTTGCCCGCTCTAGCATTCTTTAATCGGTGCCGACTCTGCAGTATAAATTTCAATCAGGCTTGAACGTATTGAATTTTATTTCAAGGACTCACGGAATGAATCTAGACCTCTCCACTCTGGTCAGAATAGCTTTGGTTACATCTCTAGAATAACCTCCCTCCTCCTTACCCATCGTATGCCAAAATGTCCTCTTATCCTATTTATTTTATCACCTCTTATCCGATTTATATTTGTCCTCTTATCCCCATTCGGCTCGTCTATGTCCATCTAATTACCTCATTCTCGGATTCCCACTCAATGTTTTTCCGCAATCCCTACCATTCATCGTCTTCTATTAGGGGCCCTTATCCAACATCTTTTTCACGTTTTCTAGCAACCACAGCCTTTTTTCCATGACGATAGATACAATACTAGATTCTTCAAAGATGTGTTCAAACCTTCTATCCCTTCTAATTATCCGATTTCCATTGTTGTTTACAGTGACATAGATCTTTTTTAATGTCCTTTGTTTTTTTTCAAAACTGGTTTGAATTTTTCACGTTACGGCGAGTGGTGGGGTCAGATAAGAAAGGTAAAAGATAACATTTAAGCCTCAAGCCTAATTATCTCCTCGCATTCCTCCATGTCTGTTGGCCTTTCTTCTACTGAGCTCTCTTCTCCTCTTGATTCCCCTGTTCCCGCGTTCTCGGGTTCCCCTTCGCCCTCCGGTGTCCACGCTCTCAGGAACTGCCGCACGTCCCGCGATGACTCTCCTTCTTCCTCCTCGATGGCATTTATCATTATGGCTCTGGACAGCCAGTCTGCTACAACATTCTTCTTACCTGGCTTATACCTGACTTCCATGTTGTATTGGCTTAAGAACTGCTTCCATCGAGTGACCATTGCCGACGATTCCTTCAGGTTGCCTACCCATTGCAACGGTTTGTGATCGGTATGCACCTTAAACTTCCGGCCAAAAATATACGGTCTAAAATTCCCTACCGCCCATAATATGCCCAAGAGTTCCCTTTCCAGAGCGCTATACCACGTTTCCGCTTCTGTGAGTCGCCGACTTGCATACGCTACTGGCTGTTCCCCGTCAGTTCCTTCTTGAGCAAGTCTGGGCATCCCCATGTTTTGTATTGCCTCTACTTTCTGCTTATCGGGCCTGATCCCCTCTCTCGAAATCGAGTGTCCCAAAAAATTGATCTCGTTCTGTCCCAGAATCGATTTTTCAGCTGACAATTTTCATCCCAATTGCTTTAGTCTGTTGAATACGCGGCGCAGATGACCGATGTGTTCAGTTTCATCCTTACTGAAGACCAGGAGATCATCCATGTATACCTGGCAGAATGCTTCGTCCAGTCCCCTCAAAAATTCGTCCATAAACTTCTGGAAAGTTATGGGAGCGTTCTTTAACCCAAATGGAATGCGAGTAAACTCATAATGCCTCCTCTCGAACGAAAACGCTGTTTTGTGCTGGTCCCTGGGGTGCATACGTATTTGATGATAACCTGCCTTTAGATCTATGGTACTAAAGATTCTCGTCCAGGGTGTTTTCGTTGAGCTTTCTGAAGTCGACAACTATTCTATACTTCTCTTCCCCTGTTGCGGCCTTCTTCTTCACTGCCCATAGGGGACTATTGGATGGTGACGTGCTGTCCACTATGATGACTTGACCTTTCAAGTTCTCCAGCTCTTCCTTGATATGTCGCCGTAGAGCTTGTGAGTAACGTCGTTCCTTCACGTACGTCACCTTTTCCTGTTTTAGCGGAATCTCATGCGCCGTTTTCCCCGTTGCACTCAACACTTTCCCGTCTTTAAAAAAAATATCCGCGTACTCCCTCTTTATCCTATGTACCCAATGTTCCGCTTGTTCTACTGCCCCCAAGTTCCCTTTTCCTTCCACTTTCAATTTCTTACACCGGTACCTCTTCCCTCCCATTCGAACAACCCAACGCGTACCACTGTAGTCTATTCTCGGTGTTCTCAGTTATACTATTAAACCGTGCCAATAGGTTTGCTGCATACTGTCCGTTGGTCTGATAAGGCTGTTTCTTTTCCCGAAACATCTGCAGGATGTCCTCTTCTCGAGCACATCATCCTCCTCCGAATGCCTTCTTCAGCCAATCCTGTACAATGTTCCATGGGGTGTCTTCATCCGTCTGGATCATGTTCAGCACCCTCCTCTTAACCCGGCAAACCACAGCTACCCTCAACGCGTTAGCATCCATAGGGGCTATTAAATTTTCCCCTTCCTTAGCCAGTATACGCGATATCACCCGATCGCCTTCCTTTAGGAAGTGATTCAACTCACCTACTCCTCCGTCAAATCTTTCCAAATCGGATATCGCTCTCCTAAGGTCCTGCGATGTCGCCGTCCTCACCTTCAGCTATTCCAACGTAGTCGCATGTGCCGATGCTAATGTTTCTGTAGGTAGCGGAGGAAAATCCGTCGTTAACGCTTCTGACAGCGGAGCCAACGTTGCAGCTGGTGGCGCAGTCGGCTGTGCGACCTGTGGTGTAGTCGGTACTGGCGGTTGTCCTATTCCGTTCGGCATCATTTCTCTTTATTATTTCTCGTGACGTGAATAAAAAGAGAGGCAGGAAGAAAAAAAAACTATCTCCTCATCTAAGTCTAAAGGTCCCGGGTTGCGGCACCACTTACGATCGTCCGAACAGGAAATAATAAAAAAAAAAAAAAGAAAGAAAGAATGCGAAATGACACACTCGGTTGCTTGATAAAGACTGCCTTTATTTTCCCAGTAATGCTATATATATATAGTATTATGTTTACAACTAATGGATAGGATTAACTATTATACAGTCTTACCTCTAACCATAACTTATATATATATATATATATATTATTTTTTTTCCCTATGCCATAATCATTGGTCATTCGACCATCCGAAATCTTGCTGCCCAATATAAGTTTGATTTTTTTATATAATCATTTACATATGTTCTATTCTTAATATCCGTCAAAGCAGGACATTTGTTTAGGACATGTGTGTGTGTGTGTGTGTGTGTGTGTGTGTACTTATTTATATACAAAAGAGATAATTGTAGAGCGAACACTTACTTTATGCAGCTAAAAATAATATCAATAATTATATATTATTGTATTTTTAAAATAGAAATTAGTTTATGATTGTTTAGTTAAAGAAATAACTTTTAATTAATATTTTTCAGCGTGTGCAATACTGTCAATAAACCCAAGAAAAGGCTTACTTGAAGCACAACTGACTTTTGGAGGTATTGTTCTTGCGTCTGGAGCTATCTATCGTAAGTATTAATTAATTTTATATGAAAATAGTTCTGAATGATACAGGTGTATTCAATAATTTTAAAAATCATGCATATTTAATGACCATTAAATGCTTACCGTAATGATAGAATCGATCTAATTTTAGAGAAACTTGGTAAGTATTGATTGGTTATTTAGTTATCTCAGTTCCAATAATATAACAAACTAATACCAAAAAGTCCAAAAATGCATTAAAATCTATGCAAGTATCCATGATAAATGTACAACAGCAAAGTATAGAAATATAGCCGTTGAAGCAGTTTCTTGATATTGCCAACGATGACTCACGAAATTAATCTTTGTATTAAATATTGAAAAACAAGGTGTAAAATACCCATCAAAAATAGAGACGCTTTAATTATTCTCGCTTTAGAATAGAATAGAATAGAAAATAATATATATATATATATATATATATATATATATATATATATATATATATATATATATATATATTAGTTATACATACTATATACAAAATAAAATAAAAAAAAATCTATATACAAAACTCTTGATACCATACCAAGATACTTAAAACTATGTACAATGGTAAAATATAAATAAACACTTTTAGAAAAAATACAGAAAAAATAAATGTAAATTCTTCTTAACAGGAAAATCCCTGTTTCTGTTGCAAAATAAATATTAAAAAAAAGAAAATCGAATATATAATAAGTATTTAAGTTATGAGCTATATGTGAATATTTCATTATAAATAACATGTAATTTTACATAAAAGGTTAGCTGGTATCTGACGTAGATGAGAATGAAGAATGTCGATTTTTGATAGGAAGGGATTTCCAAAAATTAACAGAGCGAGCAATAAAGGAGTATTGGAACGAGGAAGATCTGTGACAAGGAATGTAAAGGTCGGAAGGTCGAGATCTTGTGGAGAGGGAGTGGACTGAGAACTTTAATTGGAGAAGGTTGTAGACGTAGGAAGGACGATGATTGTTGATGATATGATAGAGGAATGTACCTAGGAAATATTGTCTTCGAATGGAGGGGAAGACCCACTCTAACTCAGTGTAGTGGTGAGAGACATGGTAGTATCTCGGGGCACCAATTACAAATATCACTCACCAGACGCTTTACAACTTAAATTAGGTCAGTGTAAATAAGACCAAACAAATAGAAGGCGTTTACAATAATTTCTCAAAGGACTAATTCAAGAGCGAGATTTTACTTGGAAAATAATGAGTAACTTATTTTAAAACTGAAAATAAATATTTTATATGTAATTAAATTAATTTTTGTACGCTAAACTAGTCAGTGGAGTGAGTAGGATCTCTTATGTGCGCACCAGACCCAGTAGCCCCTCGGACGCTTACTCAGCCCCCTCCCCTTCTCTCTCACTCTGGACCACTTCTCATCAGTGTTGCCCAAAAATGGTCTTCTTCTTGCGGTCTTGGTCTCGATCTTGCACTTTTGCAAGACCAAGGCTGACCTGTACGAGTCTTACAGTCTCGCAGTTAAATAAAACTGAGATTTGTTCATTATTGAGTACTTGGTTTCCATTTAACTAAACATTTAACTTTAAATATAAGGTAAGTCGTTATAACACTGAAATCTATTGTATTGATTATTATAATGTGATGTTAATACGGTATTTCAACATTTTAACCTTACATTAAATCTAGACAGTTTTTTTTTCTTCTTGAATCGTGAATTTAAGCTCAGATCTCCAAAACTTGAACATATTCCAATATTGGAATAAGATAAGATGACAAAAAGAAATTGGTTTTGGTGTATGAAAATGAGAGCAAAATAGTTTAAAGGACAACGTTAGTTTCTACATGTAAAGGCTAGGAATATGCAATTTATTTTTATATTCGGCTCTTCTTTTCTATCATCGTGGTTTAATTAGATTCTCCCATCAGAAAAATGACAGTAATATCACTAGTATATAATGATAACATAACTGACCACCAAAAAACCACCTACGCCACCTATGGTGATAATATTGCATCAGTTACGACTTATCAAAAGATTATGTGGGATTCCCCACAGGCACACCTGCTAACTTCGTCCTGTATCTTATGAATTATATAAGCATATGTATTTATGTTTTGAAAGATGGTAGTCTACACAGCAAAGCTGAAATTTATCATCCTAGATCGAGCATAGTAACAGTTTTTGCGCCAGCCAATATTATGACCAGAGCCTGATTTTTATGCAGAAAATAATGTTAAACAATATCAAAATAAATATGAAAATAGTTATAACACTATTTCCTAGAAACTCTAGAAGTTTGCTCCTAGAAGACTAAAAAAGTCAAAGTCAGGATTCTTAAGAAAAAAAATTCTTCTTAAACACAGATCAAACATAATTAGTAATAATTAAAAACGCATATGAATTGAGAGGCTCTTCTCTTGAAATTGCGATGTGCTCAATGATGCAACTCTATTTTCAAATTATCTCGCGGCCTTTCTACTAGGTAATTTTTTGTTTGGATGTTATGGGAATTGTTTTATGACCTCAGCAGCTAACCCTTGCGACCCATACCTGACAGGCACTTGTCTCCTTTTATACCTGTATTTATATCCTCAACAGATCTATACTATCTTGAGTAGACATTTAAAATGCAAAATCCAATAAGATCTTTTTTGATCTATTTTGCAATTTGGCACTAAAATAGATCTTTTTGCGATTTTGCTCTAAAACAAATCTTCTCCTTTGAGACAGATTGTAATGTTTTTCAACAAGTTAAAATAAAAAACAAAAAAAATAAATCTATTTTGTAATTTGGTATAAAAACGATCTATTCTTGTGACTTCCTTGGTTTGATTATGTAACCAATTCACGCTAAACTAAATATCTAATTATATAAATTTAACGAAGGTATCGGCATCGAACCTTTGGGTTCGCTAAGTCTTTTATTTTTATTATTATTATCATTAGTTTAATGAAGAAAAATTTAAATTATCTTGAAGTAGCCAAATATTCGTCAAGAAAACATTAGTAAGTAATATCCCAGATGAAAAAATAAAACATTTGTGTATTGAGCCAGAGGAAGTGGTTAAATCCCTACTTTGATTCCAAGAAAGATTTCATGTTTACGGACGGCGTTTCATTTGATTATCTTATTTATTGCTTTATAGTTTGCAAGAATACATAACGTGGACAATTCACATTGTTTAAATTCTGAAATAAAGGAATAAGGTTCCTACTAATTATTAAATCTCCGACTACGTATGTTATATTATATCCCCATCGACCGCTGTTGACTTATTTTATAATTTTCGGACAAATTATATCCTTATATTACATATCCTTCTTATTATAAATATAAGTCTTATAGGTGATAAATATTCAGGACGCAATCATTATAAATTTGTTTTTTTTGTGCCGACGTTTCAACCCAAACATGTAGGTCATCATTAGGGCGTGGTTCGAGCACTGGAGGCTTTCAAGTACTCCAGATTACTTGATGATGACCCACATGTTTGGATTGAAACGTCGGCACAAATAAAAAAAATTTATGACTGCGTCCTGAATATTTATCACCCATGATATGAACAACAAGTCTTAAAATTATATATTTCAGAAATATAAAAATATTTTTATTTTTCTGATAAAATAACAAATAATATTATTTGAATATTTAATTTTATGCTAATATTATTTAATCTTAATTTGTTTTTCATTCCAATAAATTTATTTATTTATTCCACAGTTGTTGGATTTGTGTTAGATTCTTGGTCGTAGGATTTGTTTTTTGTTAATTGCTCTTGGAAAAGAAGTCAAAGTGAGCCTGGCAAATTAGTATTTTCACAGCACACACACAATCATAACTATAACTTTTGTTAAATAAAAATATGTAACTATTTAAAAACTGATTTATTTATTATCAACAATACTGACCGATATACTTTACCATCTGGTCGGACCAAATTGTTATTATTGTTTAAATAAACTCTAAACACTAAATGTGTGTTATATTTTTTATTTCAATCAATGCTAACATTGTATTTAATGTCTTTATACCACAACCCTTACATTCTATCTAAGGTGAGGGTCTATCACTATCTATCTTGACAATGCCTTTAAAGTATATATATTCAAGTAAATTTGGTTGAACTTAGCTATGTCTAGTTCAAAAGATAGGCTCAAATGTATCTATTCTTGTGTGTCATTCGAAGACATAAATTGTAAGGTAATTGCGAGACCTACAAGACTTGCGAGACTCGTGCTGCAAGACCAAGACCAAGACCAAGGTTGAGTGTGCAAGACCAAGACCAGGTGTGAACACTGCAAGACCAAGACCAATACTAGCCATAGCAATTACAATTACCAAGTCTTGCGATGGTCTTGCATTCGGGCAACACTACTTCTTATGCATATAATCTTATGCATACCTGAATTAAGGCGTTATTTTATTTTTTGTTTAATCAATCTCAAATAAACCTGTATATATTATTCTTAAACAGTTTTTCGCTTCCTCACTACCAAATATAGGTAAGAATTGTCTTCAGAGGTAAAAGAATGATGTGCTCAGAATCGAAAATTTCCAATAATATCCAATTTTCATGTAAATTTATAGGGATTGTGCGGATTGGTGTCCAGATGTTCCCATATAAATTTTATCAAATTTCGTCGAGGACTTCCGCTTGCGCACGCGTAAATGTGTTTTCATAGAAATTACAATATTTCAGAAACGGCTCGTTCGATTTGGATCAAAGTTTAAAGAGATGTGGGTTTTTGTGATGTAATTGTCCTGTATTTTTACTGTGAGCTTGTGAAAAAGAGTTTTATTTGTGATTATGTTTATTTCTATTATTCGACCAGCTCGTTGTCTCGATTTCCTTCTTGAACATCGAACTTCAATCATATTTTTATATTCCAGCTAAAATGAGTTTTTTTCTTAATAAAGGCAAATATTAGTCTCTGAAGAAACAGAAAGTTGAATTTTTCCAATGGATTTTTTGTTTCATCCATTTTACTAGTGAAAACATACCTATAAGTGTACTGTTAGTGTAGAATTCGTCGTCTGTAACAATTTTCAATTTTTATTCTGTTGGCGCTAAAGGCGTCATTTCGTAATATGAAATTGATATAAGTAGCCTGGTACTATGCACGGGCGGATCTACGGGGGGGGGCTTTCGGGCTGAAGCCCCCTCCAACAATGGCAAAATATAACCATGTTTTATGGAAAAAAATATTAAAAAATTATCTCTTAAAGTCTTATTGTTCGTGTAATTACATATAAAAGGACTTAAGGAATCACTTAAACACCATTTCATATAGATAGTTAGTTTCTTTCTTTTTTTCCAAAGTAATTTTCGTCATTTTGATGAAAAAAAAAGCTTTCGGGCTGAAGCCCCCCCCCAAGATCAAATCCTGGATCCGCTACAGGTACTACGTAAAATAACAGAGGAAAATAAAATATGAAATTGTACAAATAAATCATAAAGAAATAATGAGTTTTATGCTCATCTATGCTCTCTTTGTTATTGCTTGTGATTTGCATCTTCAATATGTACTGGTTTTTTTTTTTTATCAATATTTATCACATCTGCGCAATTGTCAAAAAATATGTTTCATATACATAAATATACATTCATAATTCCTTATACTGATGGTGATCTGAAAGGTTTCTAAATACCTTTTAGTATATGTGCCGCCGAAGCGAGTACTCTAATTACCTTACAAAAAATAATCGAAAGGAAAATCATGATAATCGGACGTTTATTTTTATATATTATACCCACGAATCGTTTCTAAGGATTAGGTACATTCCCCAGAGATAGCAGGATGTATCTATAGTTTGTTAACTTATACAACTTCCCTAGCGCTTTTAAAGATTTTTTTTTTTTTTTAACATTTTCGCTGAATCACCGCTTATCTTAGTCCGATTAGATTTTTGTGTAATCTTATTTTTTTTTATATTCTTCAGAAAAACACTATTGAACAGTTTAATAATTTGAATATTCCAAGATATACAGTTTTTAATTGAGAACAATTAATTAAAACTGAACTAGTTTTCAGGAAAACCAGCTGAGCGTCACTATATATTTATATATACTATTTTCAAAGTCCTCAAAATAAACCCAATTTTTGAACCATCATTATTAAGGTTATTTTATGATTCTTCGTGGCCGACAAATACCTATTGACTCTACGAACCAAGCATTTCCAAGGGTTCATTTCCTTTTACAGTATGTACCGTCAGTTTCCTCTATCGGTGCTGTCACCTTCCAATTGCCGATATCAAGTATAGCTCGGGCTGAAGCGACGCATTATTTCCAGCGAATCCGTGGTATACCTTACTGACGAACACCTAAAATTTACTCCCAGAACACTTTGGCGGGACCACTCCCATCCCTAGAAGAAGTCAATCCCAGCGTAACCTTGCTAAGGTTCATGTGATGGACTACTTAAACCACCTTGCATATAACTTTCAGCTCTAAGATTATAATTATTCTCTTTAAGCCGTTATGAAAAATTATTCTTCCGGTCCCAGAAGAAAACAGAGAACAAATGAACTAGGTAAAGACCTTGTGTAATACTTTAACTCGCTTACGTGTCATAGGTTTCCTAAAAGCAGTCGCCAGGAATCCCTGTTCTGTACGGCAACCATCCATTTTCGAATACCAATAATTCTCGCCTCATTTGCCAACTAGTATGGCCAATCTGTTTGCGTCTTCCATTTATGATTTCTGTCAGTATCTTTTTTTGAATCATGTCATCATTCATTCTCGCTACGCAACCATCTTATTTCAGCGTTTCCAGTTTCGTGTTTTTAATTATTTCAGCTGATCACTCTTTTTACATACCATATGGCTTTTCTTTTTTTTAATTTGTTTTATGCTGATGAAATATGGTCTTAGAAACAAATAGTGAAAATGATGTTATGGAGGCTCTTGAATTTGCTCAAGTTCTAACAGTTTTACAAAACCACATAGATGGGCTGTATGGTTGTTCAGTTGACTGATTCAGTCAACTTCATTTGGCGGTTCTTGTTCTCACCATATTCATGCTCAACCTTGGTACTGGAAGGGAGAGGATCAGCTGATGCGAAAGTTGTGTTCTCAACCCGTCTCTCAGCTTTTGCCTATTTTTCAGCAGAATCTCTCTGATTATTCACTCAATACAGTTTAGTGTACATCAGAGCAGTTGATATTTATAGATTGATTATATATATTTATTTATTTTTTCATTATTTACATTAGAATATACTATAGAATATAATCTTAAAATTAAACTATTTAATAATTCGAAACTCCGGAGAAAAATACATTATATTCATATCATTTATGTAATATCTATACATATACTTTTCATCTCTGTATATTAGTAAAGCATGTTATGGTACTAAGCAGATCACCTTATAACAATCGATAAATGTGCTAAATTTCAAAGACTTTATTGCAAGATATAGATAATAAACCTGATTTATTAATCGTAATTTATTTAATGCTGTTTCAGTAGGAGATATTAATTTCTGCCAAAAATTCAAAACTATATATACCTGGATAACCTTTTGTGTGAGTGTTGAAGTGAAAGACGATCCCACTAACTTTAGGCATTTCATCATATATGCTAAATTTGAAATAAAATATCACAATAAAAACTTCTTGGTAGTTAAAGTAAATCCTATAAAGGTGAGTGGAGACATAATTGTGCAAGGAAAAGTAACAAAGAGAGGCAAGCAGATTGCAACAATAGAAATAACGACTCCCCAAGTTTTGATTGGCGTTGTGATTGCGAATGATAATTCGACAAAAGTGTAGGAATTTTATTAAAAACGTTTTCGAGATATAAATGTAGATATATAAATACATTTATGTATTTATCGCAAAATATTTTGTTGTGGTTATGAAAGTATTTCTTAATAAATAAAAATATACAACTTTAGAAATGTTTGTTTATTTAAATGAATTCCTTGTCTTCCTATAACTCAAGAATTTCCGAATAATTGAGTAATTCAATTTTAATTGAGTAATCAGATTGTAGGCAACTTTTATATTATTTTTTTGGCGTTCAGAATTAAGACAAAGTCCTATTTTATAGCATTCTTGATGAACTTAAATGTTACTTACAATTTTTTTTTATTTCCTCTACCCGCCATTTCCGGAACACCGGGTTTCGGCAGTAGTGGGCTAATATGTTGGGTATACGTACGCTCACTACTACCAATGAAATACTTTATTCTCAACATTTCTGATTATAAATCATTAAAGGATTGTTAACTATCTTATAATGGGATCAAGACCAATTTTGGGCAACACTACTTTTGAAGATACACTTAAATGTAATAATATATTCAAGAAAAGTTACAATACGCTGGTCTAATAAATATAACATCATATATTAATACACATATAAGGTATAAATTCATTTTTGTACACTTTTAATTTTTAAATTCATTTTAACCGGCCATGTCTCGACTGACTTGGAAGGATAAGAGAGGTAATATTGTGCTTTAAACAGTGTTTAAAATTAAAGTATTTAGTCAATTTATGAAATGTCTATTCTTTAAAAAAAATTAAAATTTTTATCAATTTGATAAAATAAATGAAAGCAATAGCATGTTGCAAGCATATGGGAGATTCAGAGATTTCATTCATATTATCGTTTTATTCCCATGCTATCAAATAAAAGCTCATTCCAAGAAATTATTTTTTAACAACTAATTGTTTTTCAAACTGGAATTAATTAAATATTTACTAACTTATGGTAAGAATTTACTACATTATACAACTAAAATAAAACCTAACCAACATTTTCTTAACAATAAATTGACATTTTTATCGATACAAGTTAATATAATATTTTAATGTGCACAAAATTATAGATCCTTATTCGATGAAATTAATGGAGCGTACGAAATTGATCCATTGATTGAGACAATGGAACGTGTATGAATACCAACTTTAATTTTACATGAAATCGCAAGTCTTGATGATAATTTCATAACTTATTTTAAAATTCTATAATATTAATATGTTTTAGTTGATATATGTATTTTTTTAAATCAATATGTAATTCAAACCTTTGCAAAATAGTAAAGTCAGCGAACTCGCTGTAAGACCACAAATTGAATTGCTCATGTATGAGGGAGGAGGCACCAAAGCTCCAAACAATAACAACTAACTAACAATGAGGTAAGAGATCTCTTATCCAACTCCTTTTTACAAATGAACTGCCATCATGCAAAGATGCCATTCTAGCTTTGAGCGTTCATGTATTTTTAAAATTCGTGCACCAATTTTTATTTGGTATTACATTGTAGCATTCAATTTTTGATCAGCTGATTGTTCAGATAATTAAGTAAATAAAATGAGTTTCCTAGTAAAGGGGAGTAGTAGTGGCTAACTAGCTTAGAAGTAATTCTTTCTATGTTAAATGATTTCTAGATCCTACAAAGAAAGTAGTGTCCACTATTTCACCTCCAATATCAAGTCTTGCAATTGAAAATTTTTTTAGCAATTATTCTTCTTATTATTATTTTTCTAGCAAAATTTTTATTCTAGCAATTAGAATTTTCCTAATAAATTGTTATCTTTGTATGAAAAATTCTTTGAAGCATCGGAAAGCGCTTGGGTCCTCTTCCACACAAAATCTCCCCCGTTCAGGTCTACATTTCTTCCCCGAAGGTTGTAATTCTGGCTACTATTTTCGTACACTTTAGGTAGCCGTTCTACCACTTCTTCATACAGAACTGACATCCTATCAAATTTCTGAGCGTAAGCCTTTCGATCTCCCATTTCAGGCACGTTATCTGAGACCGTCACCTGTTCATTCTCCTCGCCCGAACTTCAGAAAAAGTCTTGGAGCGATTGAGTGCTGCCAACTTATCGGTGAATTGGGAGAAAAGCCAATTCTGTAGGAAAGAATTAAAATTTCTGGGATATGTGATGAATGAGAATGGTCAGCAAGTAGATCCAGAAAAAATGTAGACCTGAACGCGGGAAATTTTGTGTGCAAGAGGACCCAAGCGCTTTCCGATGCCTCAAAGAATTTTTCTAATAAATTGGTACCTTTGTATGAAAAAAGCAAGATACGAAGCATACAAGTTAATTTACTTTACGTTTTAGAGGATCTGCAAGGTGGTCCTTTAGGAATTTGGCACTTCAAAGATTTGAAACCTCAACCAACATAACCTTCACTTTTTACTCCTAATTTTTTTTTCGGAAGGAAAGGGAAGAGTTTGTGACGAAAAATAAAATACAAAAAAAAAAAAATTTCTTAAAATAATTGTTAGTTTTACCTCGAAGAGGGTTAGCTGAAAATAAATTAAGTAATTAGTATTGTTTTAATAATATGTATTAATTTATAGTTTTAAGTATTAATTTTATTTCGGATCGGAATAACCAACAGATGATTGGGAGAAAAACAAATGAGAGCTTAAAGAGAGATGGCGGAACCTCGTGAGTGTAGAGGCACGCTAAGGATTTTTGTGAGTGAAATAATACTTTAGTTTTACGGTGTACACCGGATTCTCTTTTTCTATCCATGGACCTGTGATAATCAGCGACGAGTGTCGGTTGATTTTACAAGTTGGTGAATGAACATTTTCACAGTTTAAAGGGGTGGACTGGGGAGACACTGACGATACTAGCTGAAATAAGATCCCGCTTACTCAAATAACTCAATAAGCCAATAGGACAAAGTTCGGCATTGAGATTTTGTAAATATGTATGTATATAAGTTTTTATTTCCTATCTATTTTTTTCAAATATTTTTATTGGTTTATTGTATAGTCCTATAATAATTTTATATTCTTTTTTTTTTAATAATTAAAGTTAATTGTATTTTCTTTGTTTTCTTATAAATCTAATTTTTTTTTAATTTTTCAATTCATTTAATAGTTATTTAAATCAATAGAAATAAGTAAATTCATCATTGATATTAATAATAGCCAGTTTTATTTTCTTCTTTTTCTTCAGTGTGTTTTCACGTTTTATGTATATATATATATTTTATTTTTGTAGTTGTTTATTTAAGGTTTAATAAGGAATTGTAAAACTCTATTTGAGGGATCAGGTAAAATGAATATTAACCGAGTAAGAAGGTTCGATAGGTTTTTGAGATTAATTAACATATGTTTTTAAACCCGTAGATTCCGAGTTCCTAGTTCACGCCGCGTCCAAATCTTATTTTTTTAAATTAAATTTAGTTTTATTTTTATGTTTTTCGCTAATTTCCAAATTCAACCAATTAAATAGCGTGGTGCCTGTTAGATATTTAGTAATATTTAATTGACTTCATTTTTTTTTTTTCGAACTCTACCGTAACAATCTGAAAGATTTTGGTATTTCATGTAGAACTCAAAAAACATTAGATAACAAGCTTATGTTTTTTTTGTTTTTTTTATTCAACCTGAGGTTAGCTTTGGCTAAACGTTCAAACACAGTTTCAATCTGCGACAAATAAAAACCTTGTAACTACATTTGAGTAAGTTTTACAACTGAAAAAAAAAGACTGCCGAGTAAGTTCAGTATAGCATTCTCATCGTTTTCATGGGCTAAAAAAATCTATATTACAAGGTCTAACATTTTTCTTATGAGAATAAAATCTATGGGAGAACTAGTTTTCGGAAATTCCGCAATTCCTCAAGATATAAAAGTTTGATATCCACGAGTTTCATTCATCAGCGAATGCTAAAATGTGAAAGATTTCCGCATTTGTAGATTGCATATTTGATAATTAGTAATTTTAAAATAAAAATCTAGCGCAGAATGAACATGCATATCACTGCTGTTGTGCAAAAGGCCGTATGTAACAATTTAAAGATTTCAGGATAGAATAAAAACTAATAATTTCTTTATGATTTATTAGTATAATTACATATTTTATTGCCCTCTGCTGTTTTCCATAGTAGCAGATTACTTACATTAGTTGCAGACTACAAAATGCCGAAAAAAAAATTGAAAATTTCGACATTTTGCACTGATAGTATTTATATATGCCTAATAGTTATGCATACAATGGATGGAACAAAATATCCTTTGGAAAAATTTAACTTTTTGTTTGTTCGGAGTTATCGAAACTAACACTTTTCTTCAATCAGAAAAATATTAATTAAGCTGGAATAAAAATATGTGCGTGAAGTTCGCACAACCTTTGATATTTAAGGAGGAAATCGAGACCGCAACGGATTGGTTGAACTTCAATAGATATAAACACAATCACAAATAAGAGTTTGTTTTTTTTAAACTCAGAGCAAAAATTATTTTAAATTTACAGAAATCTAACCTCGCGCGGGCTCATTACCGCGTATGGGGAGCGTCCCACGGGTGGCGGATGTGGGGATGGTCGGTGGAAATTCCTTGGAAGTTCCTCCCGGCTAAGTCCGATGGACTCGCTGACCAACAATGAGAGGGGCCCTCCAGACTTGCTGGAGGGAGGGGACCTCCAGACTTACTGGAGGTAGGGGCCCACCAGACTTGCTGGAGGGTGTGACGTAGGATTGAACGCCCTACTCACATATCTTTAGTTCACCAAACACCACAAAAAGTCATGGATCTCCCTAAGGTAAAACGCTCATTATCCGGAAGTAAACTAGTCCCCCGTTCGAGTCTCCGGGTGGGGACTGCTTTAGGGGATTCATGGCGCAAGTTGAAATATAGGGATTTAAATATTGGTACGTGGAACGTAAGGAGTTTAAACACAGCAGGGGGGCTAAAATCGGTCGCGAATGAGGTAAATGGGTACAATTTGGATGTCGTGGCTCTGCAAGAGGTTCGCTGGCCAGGGGAGGGCTCGATGAGGGAAGGGAAGTACACTATTTGGTACGGAGGAAGCGGGAATCATTGTTTAGGTACCGGGTTTCTAATTAGGCGTAGATTACTATCCGCTTTGAGGGACGTACAATTCTTTAGTGATAGAATTTCGGTAGCTACATTTCAGGG